CTCCCACTCCCTAAAATATTAGCTAATATATATCATTACCCTTATTATATACTATCACTATATATGGTAGTTGTTGATAAGTGAATTAAAATATAAGTTTGGATAATAGCATTGTTAAAAAATTAAATATGAAATATATATTATTTATAAAGTATTATTAAAATTTAAATATTGGATTTTTAGTTAGAGTTTTATAATTTTGAAAGTTTTTTACTGGTTAGAATGTTAGTTAAATTGTTATTGATTCAAAGTTTGCTGTAATGCTAATCATATTCTTTTAATATATGATTTTTAATTAGTAATAATTGTTGATGAGTGAATTGAAAATATAAGTTTGGATAACAGCATTGTTAAAAAATAAAATATGAAATTTTATTTATAAAGTATTGTTAAATTTAATTATTGCATTTTATTTAAAGTCTTATAATCTTGAATTTCTAATATATGATTTTTAATTGATAATAGTAATAAATAAATTGTTGATAAATTGAAAATGTAAGTTTAAATAATAGTATTATTAAAAAATCATTTTATTTATAAAGTATTGTTAAAATTTAAATATTGTATTTTATTTATATAGCATTGTTAAAAAATCAAATGTATTTATTATAGAGTATTATTAGAAATTTAGATATTGAATTTTTATTTATATAGTATTGTTAAGTATTATTATAGATTGTTATATGTAATATTAAATATTGTATTTGTATAAAGAATTAAGTGATTTGCATAAGAATTTCCTTTTTGAAAATTTGTAAATGTCACATGATAGACTTTAATAAATCTTTAATTCCGGCCGGAATCAATGATCTGCATACAAATTTCCTTTTTGGGAAATTTGTGTAACGTTACGTGATATATTTGGCTCCATCGGTTAAGCCTATAATCGAGGCGTAATTAGCAGGGGTCGCGTAGTCAGCATGGGATCTAATCTGTTGATCATAGGGGATGCGATCATAGGGATGCGACCATAGGGGGATGCGACACGATCACCATACCTTCCACGTGACCAATCACATGCCTTCAATTTAATTAGTGATGGAGAATTGCCAAATATATATAGGGTGATGAAAATCGTTATATATTTTATGTTTAACAAATTTTACAAATTACTTGTTACTAATCCAATTATCTAACGTTCATATCTTTTAAAGAAGCTAAAGCAGCTAAATATTTAACTTCAAAGTAACGTTAATACTGAAAAATAAAAATGAAAGAATAAAGTTGCGAAAGTTATGCAAATTAAACATCATTTGATTATATGATTTTGATCTTCAGTATAACGAACTTATTTTTATTATATACTATTATAAACGGTAAAAATAAAAACTTCGGTATAATGTTATATAAAATTTTATAGTAAAATCGGTATATCAAAAGATTTTAATTATTAATGAAAATGGTTATACAAAATCTTTGGTATATGGTAATCTTCAGTATATCGTGGCTTCGGTATATCAAGAGTATACTGTATATTCTTGACCACTCTAAGATCGTAACTAAGCTTCGTAAATCTAGCCTAGACGATATTGAAGAATTTTCCGATATACCTCAATCTGACTTACCAGCTAATAAACCCGCAGACATACACATATTCAATATGCCAGAAATTATTCCTCCAAAAATAATCCCACCTCAGCCAGAGCGCCATAACAGAGTAGCCGATAGAAAGAATAAGCCTTCACTTAATACCAGTAAAGATAAGAAGGCCAGTAATTAGGATGATTCGACTCAGGCACTTTTCAACTATGTGGCAGAAGATACACGTGCTCCGGTCGCCCCAACATCTGGTACATCCGAGACTTCTAAAAGACCTGAACCAGTAATCGATGAACCAGAGACTTATAAGTCACCCAAATTTATTAAATCTAGTAACGAAGTATCATCTGCCATTGTTCTGAACAAGGCCTAACGAGAACAACGTCTTAGAAAGTGGAACATTAATCATGGCAAAGATCCAGACATATTCGTGACCATCACAGAAAAAGATGTTAGACTATTTCACAAATATCGAGACAGAATGATGTCAGATGCGAACGCTATCGATTTTACGAAAGAAAACGGCATAGATGTAAATGAGATATTTTATATGTCTAGGAGAGAAAGGCTAATAAGTGAAGAAATATATCTCCGCAACTTCAAGAATGCAGGTAAGCCTCGGACATATATTTATGATGATAAGGAGTGGCAAAAGGGTATTAGCATACTTCAAGAGAACAATCACCTATGGTAGGTTTGATATCGATAAGAAATGACAAAAAATATAAGCATACTCCAGGAGAATAGTATTCTTTGGTAAAAAGCGAATAGGAGTGAGTTATGAAATATTAGTAGGGATGGGACTTTCGTTCTTTACAATTAGGTGATATAAAATCCCAAATTATTATTTTTTTCGCATATCCTATCTACCTGCAATTTTCAAATATATATAAAAGATATTCTGGCCAGAGCTTGTGATCTCATAGAGAGCCCGCAATAAGTTATAATATTCTTTTTACCCACTGACCATAAACGTCAGAACAATTATTTATTTTTTCGAATTAAACTTTCTCTGCATAATATATACCAAACAACTTAGGTATAACCAAATATCTTACATATTACTAAGGTTGCTTGTCTAAATCTCTTCAAAATCCTATGATTAGTTTCGTCAAAATTTTACTATAGATTTATTATAGTTTTGGCAGAGTTTCGGCAGTTTCGGCATTTATAATAAGTTTCGGCAGTTTCGCCTTTCTCCAAAGTTTTGCCAGTTTTTTAATATAACTTTAATATAGTTTTTACAGAATTTCACTTTTCAGCGAAACGTCATCTTGCCTAAACTCCTAGGTTTCGGCAAGCAACCTTACATATTACCAAATAATATTATGGCTGGCATCACTACTAGATATGTAACAGAAAACGAGTTCAATACTGAGATGAGTATTGAAGAGCTAAGTAAGTACGCACCGGCATTAGATATTCTTTTAACAGACAAAGTTAAGAGGGATCAGGTACGACAACGTCTCAAAAAAGGATACAATTTTAGCAAAGAACAGGTATTTGCATTAATTCCTAAGCTAACAGCTGGTCGGAAAAAAGGAGGAGCCTTACCCAATATCCCTGATACTTCTGATATCACCCAAGAAGCAGAACTGAACACAGTAAATACATGTCAGATTTTACCGAAAGAGACTATTAGAGATTTGGCCCAGCGTATCATTCGGGATAATCTTGGTGAAGCAGAAGTAAAAGTTATAGCAAAAGCCTTAGCTGAATCTGCCTCCAATGCTAGCGCTGGTTTATTATGAATCTCTAGGCTTTGAAGAGAATTGCAAAACCTTAAAGCCTCAGAAAAAATTATTTTGGCTACATTGATTCCAGACATAATTTGCTCAGCTAATAAAATCTAAAAGAAGCATAGTAAACAATGTGAAGATGAAAGGATCAATTATCTGGACCACTTCTCGTTAGAATTGGTTAAGGAGAGATTGAATATGTATTGATATATCCAAAGTCCCTGGCTTACAAGCCCTTGCTAATGTATAAACGATAAAATAAAAACCTTGCGTATATCTAATGAAGGTGTAACTGGATATGCAAAAAATCAAGGACAACAAGACATTCCTCAAGTATTTAGATCACTAGAGAAGAATGAGGAGCGAGCTAGAGAATTGCTTGTATGGATTCAGGAAGCAATTTCTTCTAGACAGTTACAAGACCCTGGAAAGCTCAAAGTGTTATGGTTTAATACATTTCTGAAAAAAGATGAGTTCCTTCCTGAAACCAGCAAACCACTACTTCCTAGTTCTTTGCGCAAATTAGGGGTGGTATTTGCAGTCATTTCGAATTGTGTGAAGAATTTATCAGTGGCTATAACTATTGCCAGTGAAGTATTTCACCACAGTCCCAACAACCATGTCTCTTCTGCAAAAAACTATACTATAGTAAATTATCGCAAAAGAGGACAACCTCATGATCAGGCAAAGGCAATCAAGATCTTTGATGAAAACTAATCACATATATGGGTTAGAGGGAATCCTAAAGGGATCAGGTCGGAAAGGCGTTACTTCTGATAACCCTGGTATCATTTATTAATTTTATTAATTTTATTTTTTTGCTCGAGGCAAAATCTAGCATATAGAATATATTATAAAAATGGTAGCTGATCAAAAGTATTCATCTGAATGATCTGATATATCCAGTGAGCAGGAAGTTATCAGATATACAGAGAAATTAGTCCAGTCATTAGAGTCCAAAAATATGATATTAACGGATACAAAATTGTGAGAACTTGTACGTCAAGGTCTCATAGTTGATAAAATCCACAGAGTATTAGAATATGATCAAGAAAGAATTCCTTAAGTTGATAACTTTATTAATCTTTCGATTAAGCTCAAAAACCAATGCAATAATTCAAGAGAAAAAGCATATCACTGTTTAATGAGGGAGGTCTTTAATACGAAGGTCTTTCATGAAGCATCCATTCAAGCTGGTCACATTTCTAAAGCAGAATATCTTAGAAATAAAATAGACGATCGTATAGTGGATTTCATTATTCAAATAGGGAAGGGTAAAAAAAAGTGGTTAAGCCGTGGGTCAGTTGCGACTTTACACAAAGCAACATCTACGGAAAGAGTGGTAGATTTGCTTAATGATGCCGAAAATGAAGGTCCTGAAGCTTGAGGCAAATAATCATTTTCTAAAGGTATATGTTCTTTCAAAATCACATGGGTGGCTTAGATATCATGTAAACGTCATCTTCTGTGATTTAACTACGCCCTGTTATTTACGCAGTACTCCTATTTTTAGACCTAGATGTACTATTTTCGTAATAATGACTGATACTTTTTTTGTAACAATGAAGTCAGGGCCAAGATCTTATGAAGATATTTTGCAAATCTTTGGGACAGATCGTAGGTCAGATCATGGTGTCAAATCAATAATTATTCTGGTAGTGATATTCCCTTTTTCTGAAAAGTTCTGGCATAATTTCTTATTTTTTTGCTCGAGAGTTCTGGAATTATTTTTATTTGTGGATTGATTTTCTTTTTGGCAGTTTTATGATTTACAAGGGGTAGGTGATACCAGATTGCTACCTTACTTTATTAGTATATTTTTGACAACTGAAAGCCGCAATTCATAAGATTTTGACTTAACATAATTGTAAATCTAGATCTCCGGACAAACGGTACATTTTTATTTAATATATTGGGATTAGTACAATGATGAAATAAGGTGTCCAGGTACGTAATTACTTGTGAATAGATATTATTGGGTTGAAGTCTGGTTGAAGTCTGGTTGAACTCTGGTTGAAGTCGGGTTGAGACTGCGCCCTTTTTTTCTCACTATAGTTCGAAAAAAGAAGATAGTATATCTCCTAAAGGTCTTGACCGAAGGAGGGGAAAAGAAGTTGAATATGTTATTTTCCGCAGATTGATAGGTAAAATAAGCTATAAATAGTGAAACAAAAACGAAAAATGTGAAGTCTGATTGAACTCTGGTTGAACTATGGTTGATGTGCAGTTGATGTGCAGTTGATGTGCAGTTGATGTGCAGTTGATCTCCAGTTATACCAAATGAAAAACCCCCTTTTATGTAACAATGATCTGCTGAAAGCACTAAAGGCAGACTATATAAACAACCTATGATTCATGCTCACGTCCAACACCCCATCTCAAAAAAACTTTCTGTTGTTTAAAAAATGGCTGAATGGACTGATCCAGAAATTCGTACTCTTATTGACAAACGTAGAACCAGAAACGATGAGTTTCATAACCTTGGGAGAAATCGGAAAAGATTCTGGTCTCTCCCAAAAATGTGTACGAAATTCATCAAAATATCGTTAATTTTACCAGACATAAAATTACATATAGCCTAACAATAAAATGATTGAGGTTAGAACCGGACATGAAGGACAGTAGTAGAGCTAACAACAAAGTTCTCAAATATAGTGATAACTTACATTATAATCCCGGACAAGATTCGAGAATTTTTCTTTACATTGGTGACCGTTGAATGATGACCCATTCTCTTAATTGATCTTTACTCGCAATACTACCCCACTTTTAACCGAAGACAAAGTAGAGAAAGTGGAAATATTATGCCCTCACCATCTTCCAGGGAAGTTGAACGCGAATTGAGATCCTCTGAAAGACGGTTAAGCCTAGGGATGGTAAAGTCCTAGGTCCTGGACCTAAAGACCTGGTCCTAGGACCTGGTCTGCAGATCTTTAGGTCCAAATTTTGGACCAGAAGCGGACCAGGTCCTAAAAAGTCCTAGCCAATAAGGTTATAAGAGATCTATATGTTTAAATTATATATGTATAATTTGCTGTAAATTTGATTTTAAGTGATTATAAATTATAAAAAAGTGCACTGCAATATTGTAATACAATTTTTATATTATTAAAATCATATAAAAAATGAGTTGCNTACTGTCATCAAATACTGGAAGAAATATTCAATAAAACCGAACTCTCATTAGTCTGGTAAGTCTCATGCAGTCATTACATTGTACTAGATATATACGCTTACATTTTCATTATTGAAATGAAGGGCTAATGGTGAATCCGAAAGTTCAAAAGAGAGACGTTTATTGGATGGCCATAGCCATGGCAGAAAACCAGACTTCCTGTCTCTTATACACATCTAGATGTGTATAAGAGACAGATAAAAAAGTGAATCCCGATACCGCAACTCACTTTTTTTTATATAAAATCAATATAAAAAAGTGAATCCCGATATCGCAACTCACTTTTTTTATATTTAATTATTACTAAAATTCATAAAATCTATAAATAACTTAGTCAGGACCTGGTCCGCAGGTCCGTTCAATAGGACTTATAGGTCCCAGGACCAGGACCGGACCAGGACCGACCTAACCATCCCTAGACTTAAGCCGAAGTCCGTCTTTTAGTCGAAGTCAATCACCAACCTTTGGTCGAAGAAGTCGAAGACAATCGCCACCCATTAGTCAAAGACGCTCAACAATTCCGCCTGTTAGCTCGTTAACCACCAACGATGAAATGGATATTTCCGATACAGAGCAGTTGGTCGACCACAGAAGGACCTCCCTACATGAAGAATTACATGTCAGTTCCTTATCATTTCGACCACCACCTTCTTATGACATTGCCACTGGTAATACCCGAGAGTCGTCATCACCTATTAATCAGTGTATTTGTTCTCTACTCATACTTTGAAAAAATATAATAAAGATCTTTGTTTTTAAAGAGTGTTGTGTGTTTGTTTCGTGTCGGTGGCTTAGCTACTGCGCAAAATCCGATTGCTTCTGATTTATGCGTTACCTGCATGCCTTATCCCTAAAAATGGTATAGCCCACTGTCATATTGATATCAGCCATCTTAAACTTTGATACGAAAAATCATACATTGTAATCTTGGAAGCCCACACCAGTTATGACAGAAAGCAGAACGCATAAATATTTCGATCGTAAATCTTCAGAGTGGAATATAACCGGATTTCTGGAAGAATGTGAGGTAGAATCACTTGAGCTAAAAATAGATCGCTACCTAAAAAGCCTCGAGGATATTATTAAATACGAACAAGGGAACAGGTTTCAAAGGGCACAAACCCTTCTTGATAGATATAGAGAGGTAAATATTTTTTTTTGTTTTGAAGTAAATGCAGGTGTAAATAATGGCGTGACGGGGACTTGCTAGGTCGTCGTTCATTCAAGGTTGTTAGCCGAGCCATAAAGCCAGTATTGAGGCACGGGCGACTTGCTAGGTCGTCTGATGTTCAAGGTTGCTAGCCGATCTGACGGGACAAGAGATTGGACGAAAGACTATAATTATAAATATGTGCTGAGAATAATAATTCTATAATTGTTCATTCCAGGGTACTCGACCGGATCGCCAAGTTGCAAGAAAATGGGAAGATGGACGCAAATCAGATAGAACGATTGGTGGATCTTCAATTTACTTTCACAACTCAACAATTACAGGGAACGCTATGATTAATAACTCCGGAACTATCAATGAAAGAAACCGGGAAAGAGATCAGGAGAAAGTACTGTATATACTTGCATTTTTTAGTTAGAACTATTATATTCTCATGTTCCTAAAGATTTCTAATTTTGTTCCGTCCATTAAAGTCAGCATCGGAAGATCCTAAAAAATCCAAAAAACGACAAGCTGAAGAAACTTCTCCTGTTATGACACCTCCTCCCAACATTCGCAATCGTTCTCCACCTCCATCTTATTACAGCGGGAATAATTCTTTAAATGATTACGAGATTGCGGATGCAACTGAGGCCTCTCCAGTAACGTTTTTTTTTTAATTTTGTTTGTTTTGTGATGTGAATTAGCTCATTTCTAATCCGCGTTATTACTTTTAAGAAGACGAATTATCGTAACGAGTCCAATGTAGAGATAACACGTAAAGAAGATGACAATCCTTTTGACGCAAGGACAGATGAGGGTTCAACGAAATATAAAGTTCGTATTAATCGACACTAACATAATTTTTTCAATATAATAGTCACAATTTTGACATTAACTAATTTGATTCATGTTGTTCAAGGTCGTCTTATCATGGAGACATGCAATCAATAATATGGTCATAAATAATGTCTCTGAAAATGACGTAACATTCATCTTTCCGTGACTTATTACTGATATAGAACTCCATTCTCTTTTTATATAGTGGGTAACACGGGATGGACACAACATCTCCATCGACTTTCGTAATTTTCAGTTAAAGTCAATTGAAAAATTAGAAGTCAATCAAACTTTATCATACGCGAAAGAAATTGATTTGATATTGTAAGTACTTCTCTTTGCAAAGTCGTAGAATTTTGGATATAACATTTAATTTTGTATATATTTGCAGATGTCTATCGTCAATTATGTATTGCAACCAGAATATGTTGAATGCACCGAAAAGACATGGAATGAAGCTCTCCCAAGATCATTAATTCCGAAGGAGTTGCCAACAGTTGCTGACTTAGTAATAATTGAATACAACAGGGTAAGTACCTTGATATTATTACAAACAATCAGCAAACACATTAATTTGTTTATTTGTGGTTTTTTTAGCTTTTGAGCGACAGTAAATCACTAAATACAAAGTGGCGTAGCAATTGGTCAAAAGGAAATACGTTATTAACAGCCGAAGACCAATAAATATTTGATTGTGTGCAGATAGTTTCGAGAAATTTGTAAGTTCTAAATTTAATAAATGTTTGTTAATGGTATTATTAATACTCATTTCTTGCCTCGCAGTTTTACCTATTTGTCTTCGGTGAGTTATAATGATGATAAAAAATTGGACGAAGATACGTTCATCCATCGATACTGTCATCAAATACTGGAAGAAATATTCAATAAAACCGAACTCTCATTAGTCTGGTAAGTCTCATGCAGTCATTACATTGTACTAGATATATACGCTTACATTTTCATTATTGAAATGAAGGGCTAATGGTGAATCCGAAAGTTCAAAAGAGAGACGTTTATTGGATGGCCATAGCCATGGCAGAAAACCAGACTTCCGAATCCTCTCAAAGATTGATGACACTGAGAGAGAGTTTATATTCGGTGAGATAAAGCCACCGCATTGCCCTAATACCATAAATAAGAGTATCATTAAATTAGCAGAATTCATGAAAGGATCTTTAGATTTATTATTAATATTTACGGCTATGTGGCTGGCTTGGAAACGTATGGTATATTAATTTGTGGTAAGTATCTCTGTTATTATAACTTTGCTGATGTTTGATCGTCAAGCTAATAGAATTAAAACCAATAGGAAGCGAAATTAAAATTTTTAGTATCGATTTGGTATACGACGGTCTATATCGTTGTAATCTATTATCGAAAGTATTGTTCCCGACAGAAAGTGCGAATTTTTTAAACATTCTCACTGTAGTATCTACCCTATACTCTTTATTGGTAAGAATCTCTTACTTCATAATCTTCAAATAAGTTGCTTCGCAGTTTGATCTCATTATTTTTATTTATGTAGGAAAGGGCAAGATCTACTATTAATATTATAAACTCATCTCGATTAACAACTGAATCATCCTCCCCCCGTCACTCATATTGTCGAAATTCAAACTCATCGCCTAAAAAAATACGTGTACCTATAGTCAGAATTTAATTAAGTGGTTTTTATGTTGGCTAAATAGTAATATGATAGTCTTTTGTTCATTAATGTGGTCACTGTATTTTCATATTAAATAAAACAGTACAATGCAAAAAGTAATATTCATGAAATAAGGCCAAATGCATCATATCTTAATTGTTTGCTTATGGCATCAGGAATAAAAAAGTTTATATATACATATTTTATTTTATTGAAATTTTTTCTTGTTCTTTTTGGGACGCACACGCAATTTTTTTATGTATATGATATATGAGCATACAGTATATGTGAGAAGGCAGGATCGAATTCTACTCATCCAATGTCAGAGGTGTGTCCCAACCTATTGGCTTAGTGAAATCAAAAACTGCAAAATTCCGGTCTTGCAGATGCTTGTCAATAATCTCGGATGCCTTTTTCGGATCATAATTGTCGCACGATTCCCTGAAAAAAATAAAGCGTATGCAATTCGCTATCAAAAATCAATATTTAAAGTTTCGAGTTTACTCAATTAGACCCAATTCTCGAAGATGCTCTAGAATAACTACATATGGGTCTTCGTAATACCAAACATACCTTAAGGTAATCCAGTTTTCTTCGCATAATTCTTTCTTAAGTTGATCTCGTGCTTGCTGTTTGATAAAGTTATTGGGATCACCTCTATGAAAGAACTTGTTAAATTTTTCATGTTGTTCCCCTTGGACTTCGATAGCAAAACCATAATCATTATATGGAATGTCAAGTTCTAATCCTTGATGATACAGGTGTTTTCAAGAAATCAGGTCGACGTATCTTAGATGGCGGTCCAAGATATTTTGACACTATTTCTCGACAAAGCTTTTCTCGTGTAAATCTCGAACAAAATGGACACCAAGTTCCTTGTCGAATACTAGCAGGAACAGCCTCCCATATATGATTATTTTTACAAACCCATTTCAACTTTGTAGAATTATTAAAATACTTATCTGAAAGGCAACCACCGCCTCTTTTTTGTGCTAAAGTACATATCTTCAAGAGTAAGCCGAGCATTGCCTGCACAATATGGACACCAATTACCCAAATTTTTTATACTAAAAAGTGGTGCACTCCATAAGTGACCCTCAATGCATTTCCATAACAATTTAGAACAATTATTGATATATTCTGTTGAAAGACACTCTCCATTTCGGTCAGATGCAATTTGTTTAGCAATTTCAATAGTGTAAGATATATTACCTGCGCAAACTGGACACCATGTCCCTCTTAAAACATCTTCAGAACGAGCTTCCCATATATGAGATTTTTCACAAATCCATTTCAACTTTGTATCTCTATTATAATACTTATCTGAAAGGCAATCACCTTTCCGTGTTCTAGCATGTTGGCGCATATCATCAATAGTTTTTCTGGGACTATGACATGTTGGACACCAAGTTTTTTGGTTTTTAATATTGTTAAATGGAATACTCCAAATATGGCCTTGATGACATTTCCATAACATTGGAGTCTTAGAGTTAATATATTCAGTTGAAAGACATTCTCCATCATGTTTTTTAGCAATTTTACGAGCCATATCTAAAGTTAATTTTTTTGGCATTTTTTAATAAAAAACTATATTTTAATTATTGGCTCGAACAAGTATTTGTATTTAAGTATGAAGAGCAACTCCATCCCCGAGAGATCTGGATCGTACACTTCTCCCGTGAAGATTATATTGTAACCAACCCATATTGGCCATGTGAGAAACTTCAAGAGAAAGGATTAAATGTCGTCCATTTTTGGCATGACAAGGAGTTTAAAAATGTGAGAATGAGTGCCAGATTTCGGGATACTACTGACCAGTACTGCGAAATTATAGATGAGATAATTCTTTAGCTTTAGTGCCTTCGATTATAGATGTACTATTATTATTTTGTATTATAATAAAACTGGCCCTAGTGGTCTATTTCACAAATATATATATCATGTACCAGATAATAAATTTTTCTTGGCAAAATCATATGAACTTTACAATATAAAACCTTTAAGATCTTCTAGATCAGAGGCGCTAAAGCATGACCATTGATCACGTGATCTGAGCCTAAACCAATCCCTTACCAGATATGACGCAACCCGCGATATAGGCGCGTACCACTATAGTCTATAGATGAATTTTGCATGCAAACTTTTTTTGCACAAACCTATATCTAATAAAATGTTCCATTCTGACTATAAACATATTATTGATAGACTACCCAAAAGTCTTGTCAAGAGAGTTGCCAGAGACTCTTGCACCATTCTAAAGATCCTGTTCCGTTAGAATTTATTTCCAAGAAGTCTGAACGAATTGAATCTTATTTGAGGCATACATTAGAGGTTTATGAGATTTCGTTAAATAGGAAGAAATGTAAAACTATAGCTCAAGAGAAAATATCATGACCTTGAAGCTGGCTAGAATATAATGTATTCCCAGCATCGCCGGCTATATATGTTGCAGATAATAGAACCAAAACTAATAATACTACTTGTGATCACAAGGAAGAGAATAATTGCCGGGTTATAAATGAGCTTAAAGTATTATCCCAGCACCTGCTCGATTATAATAAAAGAACTTTCGAGAAGTTCATACGAGATGTAAATCTAGAGTACAATGAGCAGGTTAATGCAAATAAGAAAATGCGCTATGAGATTGAGGATCTGAAGATGCAGGTGCAGGAGGCGGAAAAAGAGCTGGTACTCATTAGTTGGGACACCTTTTTCCAAAATTTGGTCTCAGCCAAGACGTACTCTGTGCAGATACTCACGGGGTACAGTTAAATCAAATATAATGAATTTATGTTCACATAAAGCTTTGTCAATAATCTTAATTACACTATGCCAGTCATTAGCATATTGGCGCATAATACAGCTCAGCTCGTCTACAGTGCATGATCCATTAAATAGGCAGACATGTGTAAGATTTTTTCGTATTATCTTTAGGCAGTTAAAGTAACTCTGGGAGACATATATTAAACTGATGTTATAATGTCGCCCCTCAACAAAATAAGGGATGATTTTCTCCTGCACTTTTTTCAGATCAGCATATACATCTTTGAATATAGCTACTTTACCTCTATCCAGAGAAAATGAATCCACCTTAGGAATTTTATCAGGGTTTAAAGCTCAGAATGTAATATTTTCACGGTATAGCTCTGGATTATTTGCGATTATCTGGAATGCTGATTTGAGGTACATGTATTTTGGCTCCTTGAGTTGGTGGCTGATGAATAGTAAGTCATCACACTTGATATAGCGTGTCCTTCCTTTCTTCTCATTAAACATTCGATAAAGCTTATTTTCAAGCATAAGATTGAAAACCTCATTAGTTTTCCCTGAATTAGTATGGCCACAGATCAGTAAAGTAAAAGGCCATTGGGAAACACTGGAATTAGTATTGTATTTTTGGGCATCTTTAATTTCGTTAATATGGTATACAAGCCTTTCAACTGGCTCAAATTTCTTTATTTCCATGTCGAATTATTACTAATGAATATTCTAAAAATAATCTTGCAAATTTATGGGACCGCACGGTCTTAGAAAAATGCCAAGAAAAGGTAGGGACCAAATAATTATATTTGACCTAACTTGAAGAATTACTCAAGAATCCTTTTTCGATAAGTGTATGTTATAGGAAAAAGGGTCACATGTGTATGGCACTTTGATAAGACATATATCTTGGTCCTTACATATATCCCGCTTCTTCTAATTGCGCATATTTTGTGATTTTAGATTTTCATTCTCCCAGTAGTAGAAGCTATTGTGGCGATAGTGTTGAAGACTCTGGAATTCGAATGCAAGATGCAATTCCTCATTATATCCATCCAAGTGTAGTTCATCTAAGAACTTAGCCCTACATGGTGGAAATTTCTTGCCTAACAAATCCTCAAAAATATATCAACATTTACGCTCTTGAGTATGATGGTATAGAGGACACCAATTGAATATTTTTATAATATATTTTAGTGGATACCCCCACTGATGCGCACCATTCTCACAAAACTAAAGATATATATTATAACCATTTATCTACCCAGTCCTTCCTAGACATTGACCATCGCGCTTCTTAGCATAATTTTTCGCTTGATTTAGCTCGCTATTAGTAGAAAAGCATATGCAATATGTACAGACAATATGCTTTGAGGCGGATGACCAACCCTTTCTGGATCAACTATTAACATAAGTTCTTCTTGGTTCTTGCACAAACCCGCGAAATAGTGCAAATTTTCCATCGAGATAATATAAAACTGGCTCATTCTTTATAACAACAACTTTTCGAATTTTATGAATAGAAGGTGACCATATAGGGTTAGTTGCTCTCTTCTGATTCTCCATACCCCTTCCCATTCTGCATTGGCAAGTAGGTACATCAGGAAATTTTATAGCGCGAAAAATTGCGTAAGTTTACGATTTTGTAAGTTTACGAAAGTTTATGGCATAATATTTCGAAAAATTTCAAAATATTACGTAAGTTTACAATTTCGTAAGATTTATGTGATATTACGGTTAAAATATTACGTAAGTTTTCAATATCGTAAGATTTACGCAATATTACGGTCAAAATATT